TGTATCAAGACACCAGCGGCTCTTGGTCACATGAATACTTGAAATGACTACCATCGTGGCTGATGAGCTCATAATTACAGAGTGGGGAAAAAATGTTTCTTTTTGGGGGTTTCCATAAAAAAAACACAAAAAGACAAGCCAGAATCTGTTCACTAACCAACAGGATCCTTCCAAGAAACTTGTTAACCTCCTGCTGAGTGATGCATCCAACGTGATCCAATGGAGCCCTGCAATCACTGCACAGCTCTTCCCCTGCCAGCACGGCTGGAAGCATCTCTCAGGCACACCAGACCCTGGTCCTTTATCTCTGTCCACCAGAGAAGCCACTCAGATGTCTGATCACCAACTTCCATGCCAGCAAACACTCCCAGCATACCTGCCAGCCCCAATTAGTGTCCTGGATACAACTGGCATCCTTGCAAGCATCAATCTTACTGCCTTTATTTCTTAGGAACAGCATCCATCTGCTCCCAATAGCTCACATCTGGCATAGTGAGTGTTATTCAAGAGCCTCAATCCTATTTGAAGGAAATTATTCCTCCAGCCAAGAGATTCACGCAGAACTGAGTTTGGTGTTTGCAGTTACAAATTTACTACAAATCATACAGTTACACACGGTTACAAGCTTTAGAATTACAATTTCATCTTTCTTAATCCCTAAAAAGTTGCCCTCATGTAAATTGCCACATGATGGAAAACACTTACGAGAGAACAAGGAGGAGAGGCAGAAGGAACCTGAGGACAGAGGATCTACACAGGAAAAATGCTCCTGAGCACTGCCCAGGTCACTGAGAGCTTTCTTCTGCAATGAGTAGTGTGTAGAAGATAGAGTTGATCCTTGGTTTCATCATTCTTTTCCCAATTTCACCACCTGATATGGTACACTGAGCCTCCCTGGGGTGACCCCAGAGCAGAAAAGGGCACAATTCCCAAGGGACGAGAGCCACCACTTCATCTGCTTAAAACACTGGCCTGGGACTAGGAGGAAGCAGCAGCTTGTACCTTGTGCTGGGATACAAGAGATCAGTTGGGGAAGAAGTGTTGGTCACTAGCCCTTAAAGAGAAGGTGACAATCTCCTGCATGACAGTGAATGGCCCTTGGTGTGGTCAGTGGAATGGAAACAGGTAATTAGGCAGAAAGAGGATGTTTTGCCAGCCTTGGAAGGGAAATGCAGGGTGGTGCTTGGAAAGGCTGCTGCAGCAATGAGACGTAAACCTGGACTTCTGCAGGAGAGAGCCAAGTTTCAGCTTGGGCACCAAAGGGAAGAGCTCTGCAAATCCACAATACTTGGGCCAAACCTTGAGTGCTCCCAGCTGGTAACAGCACAGCCTTTGTGGCATTGCTGCGACCAGCAAGGTGGCTTTAGACATTCCCCATTTCAGCAGGGGGAACACAACTGGTCTGACATCTCTGCGTCCAGACAGATGCAGGAAGGATTTTTTCACGGGAAGGGTTGTCAGGCATTGGAATGGGCTGCCCAGGGAGTCAGAAGTCACCGTTCCCTGAAGGTGTTCAAGGAACAACTGGACGTGGCACCCAGTGCTCTGGTCTGGTTGACAAGGTGATGATCGGTCAAATGTTGAACTCAATCTTGGAGGTCTTTTCCAAACTAAATGATTCCATGGAGTCAGAGATCAGTAAACTCCAGGCTTCACTCCTGTTTTGGCTCAGCAGACGGTTTGTTTTGAGTGTCATTCCTGCCTGGCTGGGGAGGGAAGGACACTGCCCTCCGGCTGCAGTGGGAACCGGCGAGGCTGTCAGTATTAAGCGTGCACGTGTTTTACTTGGCCCTACTCCTAAAATAATTGTTTGGCCACAATGGAAGGTGACAAGCGAATCAGCTGTGGCCCCACAGGGAATATCAGGAGAAAATCCCCAACCACTCACACGTCTGTGGCTGTGCTGCTCTGAACTGCAGCATCACATCAGCCCAGGGTCAGCCCCACCAGTCCTCACTCCTGCCCCACCAAGTTCTCCTCTTGGACCAAATGGCTTCCGTCTCACTGACAAGGAAGAGTCACTGAGAGCAAAAGAGGGTGCACCAACCTTCACCCGAATGTGGCCAGAGCTGCTCTTGAAAAAACAAAACCCTGCTCAGCTTCTGACAGGAGCATGAAAAGCTCAGCCAGAATCACTGGGAACATTGATATTAAATTAACAAATATCTCTACCCAAACATGCATGTACTGCAATTGCTCAAGGCTGCAAGGATGAATAAATTTGGATGGATTTTCACTGGATAACATGAAAGACAGATTCTTGACACAGAAATCACCTGCGACTCAAGTTTCCAATTCTTCCTCCAACGCACCAAAAGATCATCAGACCTGGACCCGGGAAAAATATTTTCCCCTCTTACTGTTTTCAGAAGCAGCTGAACCATTTTAGTCAATCAGGGTTTTCTGTGGGGGTTTTGTGGATTTTTTTTCCTTTTAATAACCAGAGGCATGAATAATTTCCAGCATGGAAAATTTCTGCCTAAAGAGCTAAAACTGGCATAGAATCATCCAACAGTCACACAATAAAGCCCTCCAGCAATGGTAACAGTCAGTGCTACCAAGCCTACCTAGAGCATTTTTTTCCACTGTGCTAGGAGGATCTGTTTCACTCCTCGCCTTTCAATCCAATTTCCCCTGTACTGCACCACAAGTTTAAAATAAGGACACCAGGAAGCATGTGTGATAAGGGGGAAGGAAGGGAAAACCCACAGATTCTTTCATTCTTTCAACAGAGCCAAAAAGGAGTGGTTACTTTTTATTTTTTAAGAAAAAGCTGCAGGGAACCGGGAAGGGGGGAGATGTTTGCCTTAAACTTTCCCATCTGCACAATTTTATATATATATATGTATATATTTTTATATTTATATATATATTTATATATATATATATATTTTTATATATATATTTATATATATATATATTTATATATATATATATGTACCTCTGACTCTAAAGGTGCTCCAGGGTATTTTGCAGAGCCAGTTTGAGGCTCTGACTCCAGACAGCCTCCAGTGATGACACTTTCCATTTAGGAGCGTGCACAGATCCAGCCAAGATGGAAGGGGATGGAGACAGGAGGAATGGCCACTATTCCCTACGTTCCTTCCTCACGAGGAGCGAGGCAGCCCAGGGAAACAACACAGCTGGAGGCACCATTTTATTGAATAAACCCCAAAAGATTGTGCCCTCCTTGCAGCAAACAACGGAATGAGCTTGGCCACCACCTTGGAGCACCAGTGAAGATAAGATGCTGTGGAGAAGGAAGCACGAGTTGCATTTCCTTCCAGCCCTGGCTGCTGCCCAACAGCTGTTCCCTGTTTATTTACTTTAATATTTCCTTGGTTACACAAGCAGCTGCACACAGCTTAACCCCTGCCTGCACCAGAAGCTGCCCATGCCACCCTACCTGGCCTTGCCCAGCAAGATGATGCAGGGCAGGGGATGGACACCCAGGGTCTTGCCAAAGCTGGGCTTTCACTGGACCGTGGCCTCTACATGGTCAGATCCACAGCTCTGCATTGGGTGCCATGTTGGGCAGGGGACAGGGCACCACTGACGTGAGCAGCATCTCACACAATCCCAGGCTCCACAGGCTGACCTGAAGCCAGGCTGAACCTGGGAAAGCCATCTGGATTCCCAGGGGCTTGCTTTGCTGGGCAGGCTGTAATTTTAGCAGTGTCTGGATGCAGCGACTTCAGGAAAGGCATCCTCATTCCCAGGCAAGCACTGCACCCTTTGAAATACAACCTATAGCAATGCTCAGCCTCATGTGAGTAGGATGCTGGAGGCAGAAGATGCCCAGCTCCTCTCCTGGTCCCACACACAGCCCAGGAGGGACATGCCAGTGGCCCTTCTGGCAGCTGCTGCCGCTCCATAGATCACTTCATGCATTTTCTTTTCTCCTCTGCACAGAGCCTGTTCCAGCAGCTCAGTTTGTGTTTTGGCTCATAAAGCTCAGCCAGACCCCTTGGCTCATCTCCACCAAGGAGGGGGTGGAAAACACCCTTTGCCTGCTCACCCAGAACACTGGCTTTGGTTTTCTGCAACCCAGCCTGTCCCAACTGCCTTTCCAGCCTCCTCCCTCCCAGCTCCATTTTCCTCCTGGCTCCTCCCTGCACCAGGAGGTAAATGAATCACAGAATGGCCTGGGTTGGAAGGGACCTTACAGATCATTTAGTTCCAACCCCCTCTGCTGTGGACAGGGACACCTCCCAGTAGACCAGGTTGCTCACAGCTCCATCCAACCTGGCTCTAAACACTTCCAGGGATGGGGCAGCCACAACTTCTCTGGGCAACCTGTGCAAGTGCCTCATCACCTTAACAGGGAAAAATTTTTTCCTAATATCCAGTCTAAACCTACTCTCTGTCAGTTTGAAGCCATTCCCCCTTGTCCTGCCACTACATGCTCTTGTAAAAAGTCCCTCTCCATCTGTCTTTAGGCTCTCTTCAGGTACTAAAGCAGATGTTGCCAGCTGCCCTCTGGGCTGGCATTGGCCCTCCCCAGAATGTCAGTGGGACACCAACCCAGGGAATTGGCACTTTTCAGCGGCAGCCCTGGTTTGCTGTGACAGCTGCTGGGAAAGGCATGGTATGAGCTCCACAGGAATGGAATTTGGGCCTAACTTTAACAAAATCCTCCCCCAAAGCAAACAGAAAGTCCCCAATAAAACCCCCACCAATTGCACAGATTTCTGTTGCAGAAACTCAAACAACACAGAAGCAGCCCTGGGCACACTTAGCCCAGAAACTGACAGCAGAACATTAAAACTGGGACTTGCAAAAGACCCAGGATGTTCTCACTGATGTGCAAGAGGCACTGGAGCGAAGAGTCTGTCCAGTTTTTGAGGTTGCTTTTTTCTTGCTTTCTCAAGGATGCCCAAAATTGTGGTTAGGTTGCCTCAAATCAAAGCATTTACTGGTAGATCACAGCATAAGGCAGAAACCACACAGCTTAACAGACTTTCCTAAGTTAAAACCCCAAGAACTGGATAAATTCTTACCTGCAGGTCGAAGAACTTGCTGTACCGTCGGTATATGACCTCTGTGGATCCATTGGACCAGGTGACCTTGATGATGTACACCTGTAGGGAACAGAGGAAGGAATCAGAGAGGAGTGACCCAACAACCCACACCACAACCCAAATGCTGCTAAAGCTGCCAGCACAGCCCCCAAGGCTGGGTGTCAACCAGGGAGTTCACAGGAGCACTTAAAGTCCTTTCAGAGATACCAGAACATACATAAGTTTCAATTATTAAGCTCCACTGCTGTAACTGAACTGTCTACTAAATGCTTATGGCTGTGAACTGAGATAGCTCCCTAGCCCTAAATAAGGGCACCTCCATGTAAAAACACAGTTCAAGTCCCTCCAGACACATTATGAGTTAATAACTGAGCTTTGCCATCCCATCTACAGCTGCAGCATCAAGTTTGATGCCAAGATCCCAGAGCAGACCCCACACCAGCCTGGCTCCTGGGGCTGGGGTTTGCAAGAGCTCAAGCCCCCAAAGTTTGAAACTCCATCTGTTCTGCCATAAGCAGCTCTGAGGTTCTGGGTTCTTTCTGGGGTGCAAACTACCCTCCCGATCCTTAAAATGATACACAATCAATCCTCGTCATTGCAGGTTATTCACAGACCATATGACCAGGCTTTTACTGGTGACAAATGCAAAACAAAAAACCAAAACCCAGCCCATTTCATCATTTGTTCTTCTATGGAAGACAACAAGGAAATAGAAGAATGAGACAACGCCTTATCTAATGTCCTCACTTGTTGTTCACAGAAATCAAAGATAACCCTTGATGAGGTGCCAGTGTAACACTCAAGTGATGCAAATCTCAAATTGATAACAGATTGACTGAGCAGAATGAGGGCACAGTCATTTTTTTCTCCTAACTCATGTCCTCATTTCCACCAGAAATTCAAGTATCAACTCACTGAAGCAGGAACAAAACATTAAAAAGCCCAGGTGAAGGGACCTGCTAGAACTTCAGCTAACACAATAAGGCACGAAGGCTCTTACAATGCTGATGCTTTGGTATTTAAAACAGAATCCCCCAAGAGTTTCACAGGTTTTCCCACTGAGATGCCCATTTTTCCAGATTCCGGAATGTGACCAACATCCCAGCCCAATATCGAAACTCAAAAACCAGATCACATGGATAACACAACGCTCAACTGTTTGAGCTCATCAAACCTACTCAAATGCTGTACTAAAACTCTAACCAAAACCTCACTCTGCTGCTCAGAGGGCTGACTCAGCATGACCCACTGAGGTGAGGAGACTCCTGAGGAATGTCAAACTTTTCCCAGTGGAATCACTTCCAAATTAAGATAGAAAATGAGGCAGAAAGATGAAGCAAGTTCTTATTGCTAAAATAAAGAACTTCCCTACTTTCAACCCAGCAATTCAACATCCACTTTTGTTAAACCAGATGATGAGCCCAAACACAGCTGTGAGCTGGCTGGGTGTCACAGCACCAGCAACCTCTCCCAGACAAAATCTGAATCTCTTTCATTCACAAACTCTTTGTTCTGAGCCAAAAGACCTGCGCTTTCTACATATTAACACAAGGAAGACAGAAGGCTCCTGCAAGACAACATCTGTGCCAGCTGTGGAGACCTGGATAGACCATGTTCTGCTATGAGGGAGGCACCACAGCATCAGCAAACTAAGCGTTAGCTTGATGCTAAGTAAGCGTCCAAGCTGCCTTTGCCCTCACCCCAGGCCTTGCCGGCAGGCCAGCATGAGCTCATTTGGGTTGGAAGCTCAGCTGATATCCCAGCTCTCTTACCAGTCTACAGCACTTCACGGGGTTATATCACCGCTGGCTGCCTGCCTGGAGAAAGCCTTCCACTGGGGCAGCAGGAAGAGCCAACTTTTCTTCATTGTTTATTCCTATCCTGCCTTTATTTGGAGTCAACAGCTTATTAGACTGGGATTTTAATCAGGATGTGGATTTACTCAAGCCAAAATGTATTCAGAGCTCTTAAGGGTAATAAAGCCATGAGATTTGAGGGCACACCACACTTTATTGTACCCTTTTCTGCTGAGGGAAGGAATACTTCTCCTACGTACTGAGCTCACTCCTATTTTGCTGAAATGCACATCTCCCAGGAGTCAGGGTTACATTTTCTTGCACATCCCATTTGAACAGCAGAAAGGTCTCCAGGGGTATCTCCTCACCTACTTATGGAAAGCGGAAAAGATGGGGAAGCCCACAGGAATGGGACCTCCACAGTATCTACAAAATCACTGCCTCAGTAAAGCTGGGAATATCCCTTGTCCTTCCAATGGTTCCATCCAAGGGATTCTGTTGACCAGAACCATTACAGATCTTGGTCTCTGCCAATTCCTAATCCAGTCTGTGCTGTCCTAGGGATAAAAAAAGACACCAGAAAACACAACTCAGGTGCTCTCCTCAACTAACAACGAGAGTGCAGATTTGGAAAGGTATGAACAGTGCTCTGGGCCACCCAGCAATGGTTTCCAGAGCGACTGGAGATGATGAGGCAGAGAGCTCACACAAGCACCTACACATTGCTTTCTCAGATGCTTTTGGAAGACACTTGTAACAATCAAGACAGTTTTGAAAACATTGCACTTGGTCTAAAGTTTTCCCTCCTGGCCTGGCACTGCACCACATCCTGCCAGGAACAACCACCATGAAGTAGCAGCCCAAAAAATCCAAATTTTGTACTGAGAGGAGCCACCCCTTCAGCTGCTCCCTCAACCCCCAGTCCTGGAGAGGCTGCTCTGAGGACAGGCTTTTCTCAGCCTGGCTGTGTGGGTGAGAGCATGTGGAAACAGTTATTTCATGGGTCTTCTCCAGCTCCGATTTCTACGGTCCTTCAAAGAAATAACACAGAGAAACCACCAGCAGGCCTTTTCCGTGGAAAGAGCGAGGGGATCTCCCAGGGCTGCAGCTGGCACTGCCTGTGGGACGTTAACCCATAGGGAGCACTGCTGGGAATGGGGGGGGCTGCCACTTGGATCCCTCTCCAACATTTCCTCGCAGAGCGGGGAGAGCCGAGCAGATGGCGGGGAGGCAGCGGGCGGGCGGATCCAGGAAGGGGGCTCTGCAACCCCATCCCGTGGGATGGGCCCCTGGCCAAAACCAACAGGCAGAGCTATCTAAATATTTACAGCCTTTTCCAGGCCAGCAGCAGGGTCTGCACCAGGGAAGGGAACTAGCTGACTTGGTGAAACTCAGGAACCATCACCTCCTCTCCCTCCCTCTGGAAGGGACACCCTGCCCTGCCCCCCTCTCAACCCTGAAAGCCTCCATCCCTCCTTTCCAGCCTCCATCACTGCACATGTGTCACGCCAAACCCCGCAGCAAGGGCTGATGCCTGAAGGCAGTGGGTCAAGTTGAGTTTTGGAAGAGGCAGAAACCACCAGGATTGAACCCTCCTCAGCTTCACTTCAGTCATGGGTTAGGGGGAATAGCTGAAATTCATGTCTGCAGTCCCAAAATCCTAGAGGTGCAGCTCACGGCATTTGTCCGCCTAGACTAAGGCCAGAGGAGAGGCACAGAGCTGTTAAGGCCACTCAAACACACTCAAAATCCTGCTTTCAGGTTTAAAGGAGCCACACACAGGCCCTCCATCTCCCATCACTCATCTCCCAGTCTCCAGCTTCCCTGCCCTTGCACCATGAAACTACAGTTCCATCGCAGCATGTTATGGAGGCATTCCTGGCGGGACAACCTTGTCAGAACCTCAGCAAAGGCCAAAGCAAAGAAGCAAGGCCTGCCCTCCAATCCTGGGGGTACAGAGGCCACAGGGACAATTCTGGAGGTGCAGGTGGATCTTGTTTAATGCCAGATGAAAGGAGCATTTCACACAAACACCAAAAGCTCTCCATGCTCCCATCCCTTGGAGGGCAGAAATGGAAGAGATCCTTCAAAGAAAATGGAAACTTGCAGATTCAAAGGTGGAATTATGACAAACTCCATGGGCATTTGGCTCCCAAACTCCCTGGGATCTCCAAACTCCCTAAATTACAAGTAACTGGTCACACGCCAACTGCTTAAAAATTACCAGTTGAGAAGTGTAACATCAGGACCAGCACTGCCCAAGATTCTCCTTGGTCACATTAGAAACCAAGTGCCCTAAATGGAAACATAACATAGAAAAAGGCCCAGGGAATCTTGCAGTCCACCCAGTGGACACCATGAGCTCAGTCCTCTCTGGCATGATCTGGCATCTGTCACTGCTCTCCCCTCCCCAGCACCTCTGGAGAGGCAGCTCAGAGGGAGAACGGGACAGTGGAAAATGGGACTGAAAACCCTCAGAAGGGAACTGTCAAAAAATGACAGTTTGCTAAAATAAATGCAAATGGCACCTGGCCAACCGTAACAGAGCTGTCAAAGGGAGCTGCCTGTCAGCTCGGATGGCAGCAAGGGCTCTGCAGCCCTGGGGGAAACACACCAGCAACTCACAGCAGGAGAAAGCTGGAGGGAGATCCTCCTGGGCAGGATGGCAGCCCAGGCAGAGAGCAAGCTCCAGTGCTGGGCATCACCAGAAGAGCAGGGAGGCTGCAGGAGCCAGCTCAGATCCACATCCAGAGCAGTCAGAGTCACGGGGACTAGAGCGCGGAACAGAGGGGAAGAGAAGCCAGTGCAAATCATCTCCATCTGAAAGGGCAGCCAGAGACTTAATTATTTTTTTTTCTTTTCCTCTTGAAGAAACGAAGTAGCATAAGCCATGGGAGCCATCAAACACCAGAAGTATTTTTCCAGGGACTGCTGAAGAGCCTCGGTGTTGCAGACAGCAGTGGCTCCTGGTGACTTCCACTGCTCAAAGGGACCGAGAACTCCAGAGCCCTTCATAAGCCCTTGGTCTTGCACCTTCCCCAGGAGGCACGTTGTCCCATACAACAACGTGCGTAGAGAGAGGAGGTGATTCAAGCGGGTGACTTGAGGCAACAGAATTAAGAACAGACATTGAAAAAAAACCAACCAGAAACAGTTTCCCGTTCTTGAAACACGAGGCTGTGTGACCTCCTAGAAGAGATCTGGGCTCCTTGCATAAACACACCATGGACAAGCTGGGAAGCAGCCTGGACTGCTTAAGTTTGA